CTTGCCTTCAGAAGTTGTGGGTGCTCCAATACTAGAGGCTTTCAAAAAGAGACTGGACAGCCAATTGTCTGAAATGGGTACAGGGTCTCCTGCTCAAGCAGAAGGTTGGACTAGATGACCTCCAAGGTCCCTTCCAACACTGCTATTTTATGTTCTATTTCCTCCCAAAGGATTGATTGCTTCATTGCAATAATTAGCTCATCGGGAATGGTTATAACTCTGGAAGGTAGAGCACACTTACTGTATTATTTGGAACAGCAGGAGGAGGAGCTTTCTCTGTTTTTCAGACCTCTGACAGTTTGGCAAAGATCATTGCTGGAAGGTGAACTGAGTCAGGATCCATAGTTCTTGTTGGTTCAGGCATCTTGTAAATATTATGCCACCTCCTAATCTTGGCAGCAAATAAAAGGAAAAACTCTAATATTGATTGTTGCCTTTATTGGTAATGTTGTTTTGCTCAGATTTGATTTTTTCTTCTCAGTGAAAAGATGCTTCCAATAATTAACAGGAAAGTAGGGAATATATTAAAATTAAAATATTACAAGTATTCAGTGGAAGAGCTCAATTGTCCTCAATGGATCCCGACTGAGGAAATTTAGACTGACTGGTAAATATATCAGCAGAAATCCTTAACTCAGAAATCAGCAATCTGTTCTCTTGCATTTATTTGAAGTACATCTTCCATGTTCCCTCGTCATGTTTGGCATGCTGGGAGATAAAATTAAGCCTTCTAGGAGGATATTGTTGTTGTTATATTTGTCTTCCTGGAATGCCTTTGCCATTTTAGCTAAAGATGCTGGGCTAGAAACCAAGAGACTATGACTTCTAGTCTTTCCCCAATCTATGACTCTGGGCCAACAGTGGCCTCTATTTCATTTCTATCTCCTGCTTTAATCCAGTGGCAAAAACATATGTTTCCATATGGGAAGCATTGATCTCTCAAGCCCTTTGATGTGAAAGGGCATCCTTACCATTCCAGCCACTTCCAGTGCCAAGCCAAATACTTATGAAACTTTTTCATTTGCAGGATCCCACTCCAAATACGATGGAGCCAACTAACCAGCCCTTGTATGCAGAGTGTTCCAATGGAACTCAGCTCAGTGTGACCTCAGCTTCTCATTGTGTCCCTGAGAATTGCTGCAGATTGCATCATCCCTTTATACCTATGAGCTGTTTCTACCAGCAGGACAAATGATGATATATAAGGAAGAAATGTCTTCATTCACTTCCCTTGTTTCTGTTTTTCCTCTGCTCTAGTCTTAGTTAAACCTCTGTGTTTAAGAGAACCTACAATCCTGGAATTTCCTGTGGTCTCCTATCCAAATATTTCCCTTAGCTTTTCCAGATTAGCTAAGGTCAGCTAAATGCTCTCAAACAATCCTTTCTAAAGGTGAGTAGCCTTTGTAAATTAGAACATAGAATCATAGAGCTGGAAGGGACCTTGGAGGTCTTCCAGTCCAACTCCGTGCTCAAGGCAGGAGACCTTATACCATCCTGCTGAAATAGTTGTTCAGTCTATTCTTGAAAATGTCCAGCGATAGAGCACTCACAACTTCAGGAAGCAAGAATTGGCAATGCTTACTTATGGATCAGACTGTGACTCAATAAAAGCAATTCCTTTTCCACACACCTCATACAGAGGAAAGCTGTCCCTAGACTGTGTGTGGCATTCAAACCTTTGAGGGCTTCCAAAATCCCAGAAGCAAAATTGGCACAAAGATTTTTTTTAAAATCCTCTTTTTCAGGCCTATGTTTGCTTGTATGAAAGGTAACAGTTCTCCTCTTTTCTACTAAATTACCTTATTTTTTAAAAAACTTTATCCAATATATTTGGTGAGACCCCAACTCCCCTACTTGTGTGTCCTGGACTCTCCCTCAGCAGCCTGGTTTAAAAAAAGCTTTCCCCCCCACCAGATGGGTCTCAAACCTGTGATTTAGGATGCTTGTGAAGTCTCTGATTTAGCATTTTGTCCTAAGACAGTGATTCCCAAACTTGAGTAAATTACCCCAGATTTGATAAAAGTGATTTTCTTTGCATAATGACACATGAATCTATTGCCCAATCACAACAGGAAAGTTGAAATAAGAACTTTTTGATAAATGGTGAAAAGGCCTTTTTGATAGGTGGTTTTGGAGTAACAAAGGAAAAAGTTTGGGCAACAAAGGAAGCACTGCCCTAAGAGCTGAAAGATTGCTATTTACAATCTTTTCCATGCTAAGATTCAAAGCAATACTTGTTGGGAAAGAAAGCATATTCAAACTCTTGTCTGTAAAGGTGGATGAAGATTGCTGGTAGAACTGGTGTCTTGCGTGGTGATTTCATACATGGCAAAAGTGTGTGCTGGGAATGTGTCCCATCCTGATGAATTCCTTGATTTGCTAGTATGTGAGATTAGATGGAGATGCTGACTTGCACGTGTCCAAAGGGGTTGGGCAATGGGAGCATTTCCAGAGATGATGTGATCTTGTCTTTCCTTCATCTATGGTCCAAACCTACCAATTAACATCACATGAAATCCTCATGATCAAAAACTAATTCATCCTTGATACATACCTTGGCCTTTTGCAGTCCAAAAAGCAATGTGTTTTCTTGACTTTCATTTGTATCACTGGAGTGCAGAATTGCACATGAAGCAGCCAAGATAACTGAACCATTATGTGTTGTGTTAGGTTTTGTTTTAACATGGCATATAAAACCAGCTGTTACAGTTTAAAAGTTAGCTTGTAGCCTGTTGTACAAAGTCAGTTGTGGCTCATTCAATAATACACCATTTAGTAAATATGTCTTAGTACAATGCTTGAACCCAGGTAATTTTAATACAGCATCATGTTCTTCCCTGTGGTTGTAATTACTACTATACAAATATGAGATTATAACTAGTGATTTTTTTTTACTAATTTTAAGTTTAGTATTTTCACATTGTTCAGTGACTCATATAATGACACAGCAATAGCAAAAACGTTTAGATTATGCCTAATGGCATTAAATTTATCTCCCATATATTATGATTTCAGGAATACTTTCCACACCTTGGAAGGTAGATTAGTATTTGGTTCCTCCAGATTGGAGAAAACAATTGCTTAGAAAATTTACATGCATAATTTGATTTAGCTACAGAATTGTCAGATAATCCAGAGCTACCAATATGGTACTGATTCCGTGTTAAATTGAGATCTTAGTCTAGCAAAAGTGTAGTGCTGCTTTGTCAATCATGGTGTGAGGGTTGCAATCTTTCCTTCCAAATTGTTTTTGAGAAGTTCTGCTTCAAGGCTCAGAGCTTGTGTGATGGACTGTTGGGATTGGCCGATAAGGGTTTTTCACAGACATAATGGCTGTCGGATGTGCAGATAAAATCATTCCATTCACCATTAATCCAAACTTGGGCGCAGTCCTCCTCACGACCCTGGTAGGTGTTGGGTTCACCTACCTTCCAATTCCTGAGATGGAAGCAAGAGATGGTCCATGTTTTTATCTCAAATAGTCAAGAATAATCTCAGATTCAGTAAACTTAACTCTGGAGGCATCAAGCTATTGTTTCCTAAACATTTTACTGATAAATGTTTCTGAACAAAAGTGGAAACTCCTCATCAGTTTCACAACCAAATAGATTTACTAAATACTGTAGACGCAGATCTTGCCCGGAAACAAATGGTTTTATGTGGCTTATTTTAGGTCATATGATTATAGGATTACAAGTCTAAAGGATGTTGAGGGTCATTATGTTCCTGTTAGTGATTGCTGGTTGAGTTCATACATCATGTTAAACCAGCATAAAATCTTTTTATTGCTTGGTACGATGTTTAAAACCAGTCTTTCACTTATTCTGCCTGTCAGAATTTCAGAGACATTGAAAAAAACTGGAGTTGAAGGTGAGTTTCTGCTTCATGATGGCTGAGCAAGTGATAGCCATTCAGTTGGTGATGAACCACAGTTCCCAATATATCCCTCAACCTTAACAGTGCTGCCTGGGCATCTGGGAATTGAAGTTCAACAACAAGTGAAGAGCCACATGTTCCCCAACTCTGCTAACAACAACAACAATAAAAATTATTCAGTGCTCACTTATAGCCATTTCTGTAACTACTGCCATCCTCCCATTTCCATTCTCCTTCTCTTTGTTGGTCATGGAGACCAATCCAAAAACGTTCATTTCTGGTCCGAGTCTCTATGAAATTCTGCAAGAGAAAAATCCAAGAAATATGAATAAAGGCATTTAGACTGGAGAATATTTCCTTTGCAACCATAAAATAGAAGAAAGGAGAAAAATGGAGGTTGAATTACTTCTTATAAATTCTAGAAATGAATGCCATCTGAACCAGAACAAGGCATCCAAGATAGGAAATAAATGATACCTTAGCTTTATTCATGCTTGCTATCGGTATGTCCTGGGAAGAAAATTTACATCAAATCTGTAGGTGTCCCATCTTACCTGTTTTGCAAGACTATCAATGATGACCAACCGTGATTGTCTGCGTTCACAGTCTGCCTTGGCTTCATGCCAGGGAATTGACTTCAGGGAGAAGTAGTAACACTTTCCACTAAAATATTCCCATTGTCTACTGTCAGCACCACATGGGAACACTGAACAATAGGAGGAAAAAAATAAAGTCAAAAACTGATACTGGCTTGGCTTATCAATTCATGCAAGATCAAAATGTGCTTTTTCTTCTGATGATAAGGGCTGATAAAACAAGTTGCACAGACAAAGCTAGAGAGCATGCACTAAAGCAGGGGTAGTCAACCTTGGCTCTTTTATGACTCGTGGACTTCAACTCCCAGAATTCCTGAGCCAGCTATGCTGGCTCAGGAATTCTGGGAGTTGAAGTCCACGAGTCATAAAAGAGCCAAGGTTGACTACCCCTGCACTAAAGTAATACTGTTTCTTTACCTACAGCAGAATTTAAAAAAAAAACTGGAGCAGAATTGCCCCATGAATTAGAGACCAGAAAGCTAATCTCTGCTAAGGGAAATAGAGAAACTTACAGTGAAAGTCCCGGCCAAGGGGATCCTTTGAAAAATCGAGGCTCATCTTATTGAATTCGGATGAAATTGTTGAGACTAAGATTGTGAAGGAAGAGAAATAAATGCATATTAGAAATCTTGCAATGTCACTCCATATAATAAGAACAGAACTGTAATAAGAAGAGAAGGGCAGATGATGCCCATCTCAGAAGCTGCTCTCGTAGGACTGTTTCCTTCTGGTCACTACAGAATTGTAACTACCAGTACCAACAGCCCTTTGAAGTAGTCCTGGAAGAGAAGGCAAGCACCTCAGAGTTTGTTCCAGTTGATAAAGAAAAGAATACGAACATTTTTATTGCCACATGGAAATTGCTTCTAGACTTTGTGCTTGAGGTGAAAAAAAATGAAATTTTGATTTTGAGTTTTACCAATTAGATAGACTTGATGTTGTCGAAATGGCTAGTTTATATTATTTTGTAAAAGTAAAAAGTTGAGGTTTGACACTCGACTTTACTGCACCAAAGGAAGTCAGAAGTTAATCCGTTTTTTTCTTTTCTTTTCTCCCTTATCTCATTTCTCTACTCCCTTTTCCCTTCCCTATCTTTTCCGCTATTTGCTTTTGTATTTTCATTGTATCGTATATTATAAACTAATAATAAAAAAAGAGTTTGTTCCAGTTGCGGACATCTTTGAAACATCTTTGCGGCAATGTTTCAATGTTTCAGTGGAAACAACCTCCCAATTTCTACTTAACTATGATTTTATTAATGAAATTGGTGCATCTTACACACTGTTTTGATAAGACTTCTTTTCCTGAAAGATGGCATTTACCCACAATCTATATAAATAAAAATGTAAATGTTCGTTTGTTCAAAATCTTAAATCTCCGAAAGTTCTTCACCGATTGCTTTGAAATTTTGACACAACATTGCATTCGAATACGCACGTGTTTTTATATACCTATATTATATAGATGTCCCTCTTTTATTAGATGAAATATTGCAAAATGTGAAGGAGGAAAACATACCTTTGGAGAAGGCCACCACATAACCAATGAGAATTAGCAAATAAGAGATACCCAGTAGTGCATAAATCGGAAAGTATGATCTTGGGATCAGGTTTCTTCCTCCTTTATGTGAAAGGAAAGAACAAAAATGTAAAAATGTTGTCCAATTAATGGGTAGGAATTTCTGTGGATGTTCCTTATAGCAGACAAGAGAAGTGGCCTGAGCTATGTGCTCTTTCAGTCACCTGGTGTTTCTTTCAACAATTCGAGAATGAAAATTTCATTAATAAATGGTTTCCAGATCTTGTTTTGAGGGGTACTGGATTCTATTCAGGCCTTCTCACTTATTTTTAGAATGGGCAATCCTTTTTAGGTCAAGAGACTTATTTTTAGCAGTGCTGGAAATTACATTCCAAACTTTTGGTATATAGGAAAGGGCTTTATATTAGCTGATGCTAGTATAGACATTATTGTGTAATTTCAAACTGAGTTCAAGACTTATTGTCTCTTTATTTATTTCTTGGGACCAAATATATAATTAAAAAGCTATTGATCTGTAATATTATAAATAAACACAAAGTCATTTTAAAGCTGTCCCCCCCGCATGATCACTAATTTAAAAATTAAAACAAAAAATATTTTTTGCAAATTATGCTTCATGTTATATCATTGGAGTTTTTAAAAAAATAAAGTTTCATTTTATTTACTTCTTGTGATATTGAGTCATCTCCTATGATTGGTGAGACAGAAAATCTGGGGAATTGTCTACGACACTGTTTCTCAACCCTGGCAGCTTTCAGATCTGTGGACTTCAGCTACCAGAATTCTCCAAAAAGCCAGGCTAGCTAGAGCATTCTGGGAATTGAAGTTCGCCTATCTGAAAGCTGCCAGGGTTGAAAAATACTAGTCTGTGGGGACCATGATAGCCTATTGTCTAAATACATAGCAACTTGCTGACAAAGCATCCCCATTTGGACATCATTTTCTTAAGCCATTTTAGAATCCCCCTAGCATCAGGCCAGGACAGGAACAGCTTTAAGGGGTTTGCAGTGTGTGTCTGAGAAGGATTGTATGTGTATATGCATGTGTGTTTAAATAACTATAGAACTGTAAATTCTGTAGAATTTTATAACAGGTTCTTTTTGCAGCACTACCCTAAAAATTGAGGCAGTTTGGTATGATGGTTAAGGCACCAGGCTAGAAACTAGGAGACTATAAGTTCTAGTCCTGCCTTAGGTACAAAGTCAGATGAGGGTATCTTTTTGCTTGTCACCCTTTCTCAAGTCTGTGAAGCAGGTAAAAGCAAACCACTTCCAAAAATCACACTAAGAAAAATGCAAGGACTGGTGCAGGCAGCTGTCAGGAGTCAAACTAGCTTGACACACAGTTAAACCCACCCTGAAAGGTAAACTAAAATGAAAGGTAACAGGTGATCTTTTCATGGCAAAACATGAAGGACAGAGTCCAAAAGTTCAGCCCTGCTGAATCTTGCAGTGATCTGGAAATGTGCAGAAAGCTGCAACCTAATCAGTCCCATTTGTCCTAATGGTAAATAAATAAATGCCTTATTGACTGTCCTACTGGAATTTGCATAGTAGGAGAAATGGACCTCACTCTATAGTAATACATTTTTAGCTAGCTAGCTTTTTTGAGGGGGATGACTAATCTACAAGCAAAGCTCTTCAAACAATTAGCAATTTGCCTGAATGGCTTTTAAAAAGTAAATAATAGCCACACTTATCCAACTCAAGGCTGGGATAGGGCAGTTAATAACAGGTGTCCACTCAGATCACCACTTTTGCTGTAATCTATGCTGGAAGAGCTCCTCATGTGGATGAATTTCTTTATATTGTCTTTTCAGTCAATGTAAAGTATATGGCATCCTCGATCTGCATCAGGACGGTATCATTTATCTGTAGTATATTAAAGATACTTCTATGCTACTGCAATAAAAAAAGACCCTTGGCAGCTAACATAGAACAACTAAAAGTCAAAGCATGCACAATATCAATAAAACAGCTGTTAAAACAATAGAAAAATTGAAACTGTACAATGTATATTTGTCTTCATTTGTGTACAACATATGCTACAAAAGAAATAAAAACTGTCTTCAAGGACTTCTGAAGCACCAACAAAGGGAGTCAGCCTGATCTCTATGGAGAGGCTGTTCTTCAGGGTCAACCTGACTAGATAAATTAGACTCCACAGGCTAAAACCATTTTATTGAGAAAGACTGCTATGCGTCTTCCTCCAATTTACAGTTTTAGTGAATTAGGGAGGTGTCTGCCTGAGCTGCCTCTGAATCTTGCCTCATAGTTTAGGACTCAAACAATGCTTTAGTCTCTTTTGCCTAGGTAACAGTTCCTATATATCTCTGTCAAGGTAACCTGATTTATTCTATACCAGGGGTGTCAAACTGCCAGACCGTGGGCCAGTTGCCAGAGGCCGCACCAACCCCAGCTCCGGCAATGCAAAAAAAGTTGCAACACGTTGCAACACGTTTGACACCCGTGCTCTATACCAATATTCCTCAACCTTAGCAACTTTACAACATGTAGACTTCAACTCCAAGTATTCCCCAGCCAGCACTGTTGGCTGGTGAATTCTGGGAATGAGGTCAACACATTTTAAGGTTGTCAGTAGCAGCAGCGCCTCGCTTCAGCCCCCCGAACCTCTCTGATGTGGGATTTACAGCAGCTTCTTCCTATTAGAGCTAATTGAACAGGACATTATTGACTGCAGTAGGGAGTCCTGGGTATACCTGGGTACCAAATCATATTGGTGGGGTTGAGAAGAGCAAAAGTTTAAAGCCTATTTCCATCCCCCTCCCAAACGCTTGTTGCAGATTGGAATTGTTGTGTGTAAACATGTCATTCAAAAAAAATTGTGCTACTGCTTGGATGCTGTCATCCTTCATTTTTCTTCAGATATTTCTAGCAACAGCACCTATTTGTGATTTTCTGGCAAATAGACAAATACTTTAGACAAGTGAGAATTTGAAAGTCTCACTTCAAGCAACTTGCTTATTTATTTGAAACCTGGTTGCTTTCAAAGGAAAAAAAAGACATGGGATTATGTGGAAAAGCAAATTAATGAGGGAACACTGAACATAAAATATGACATCATATTAAGCATGAAAATCACCTGAAGTGTGGAGCATAAAAGAAATTTAAAAGCTGGAAGTGGAAAGATCTTTACTCAGTGCTAAAAAGGCAACTGGACAGGCATCAGACAAACATCTATCAGTTACTTTACTGTCATAAAGTTTTAGTCCCTGGTTGCCACTCACCACACCTCGAGTCATCTGGAAATGAGGCTTCAGAAAGCTGACCTTGGAGAAGCCAACTTGATATGAAGGCAAGGGATCCTCCAGGATAAATCTATATCTCAGTTAGAAAGACACTACATTCTAAAAGGAAAGTTAGATACCTTTATATGTCCGGAAATCATCTGAAAACTTTTCTTCATCCATCTTGGAAAGCTGTGTGCCTTTTGTGTTATTTGGAAACACTTCCTCAAATAGGGACTTTGTGGTTTTGCTGAAATTGCTCTAGAGAATAAATAAATAATGGTTAAATATTAGCTCAGGATGATTCTTAACTTTTCTGCCCTTCTGCCCATCTCTTTTTAGAATATAGTCACCTTTCAAAACTTACTTCTTGCACCAAGACCACAATGTCTCCATATATGATGAATGCAGTGGTGGGATTCAAATATGTTAACAAACGGTTCTCTGTGTGGATGCCGCTTCTGGAAGTCCATTCTGGGCCTGGGCAACAAAAAATTAGCTAACGGTTCTGCCGAAGTGGTGCGAACTGGTTGAATCCCACCACTGGATGAATGGGAACAATAAAAGAATCTTGCTCCTGTTATCAGGTTTTCCTTAATTATATAAAAGGCCTATTCTTTGTTCTCATCTACCTAACTGTAACTTCATAAGAGCAAGACCTTTGAGCAAGACCAGTGAATAATACCTTATGATTGCAAAGAACTGTCAATAAGCAAACAATCCCACAGATTTCCTGTATTAAGACTAGCAGTGAGAACTGTTTGGAACAAAATAGACATCAATGTGATATTGACAAATATATTCACTGTTATTAATAGTAGTAAGCAGCTCATTATTGTAATTTGCATTATAGTAATTTCAGAATAGTTTGTAAAGGTTAAACATGAAGAACGCAATCTAAAACAGGGGTGTCAAACTCGCAACGTCACGTGACGTGTCGTGACGTATCGTGACTTTTTTTGCCATTGCCGGCAATGGGGTGGGCGCGGTTTTGCTCTGATGCATCCGGCCCGTGGGCCGACAGTTTGACGCCTCTGATCTAAAAGTTCAGCTATCTACACATAAGTACTAAGTCATGGTTTGCTTAAGCGTTATTTTTGAAAAAAACAACAACCCATAATTGATTAGGTTTCCTCAAACCAAAAAAAGCATAGATCACACTATTGCTTAATATGAACAGAAGTATAGCGTATTTTGCAGTGATGAAGTCTAGAGGTGACTGGGATATTTGCAAGTGGCCAGTTCCTATTTTTCCAGGAAAGGATGCAGTTGGCAAACCAGGTGCAATTTGCTTACTTAGAGTCAGCTGAGGTTAGCAAAGGATCCAGTCTAGATCAAAGGCAACTCTTTTAGATGTGTTCAAAATAAAATCTGTTTAGTGCAGATGACAAAAATTAAAAAAAAAGAACAAGAAAGAGGTAGGATGATTCAGATTTTGTTTTGGCTCTGTTTTGGTAGCATCAGTGAAGAGCAGCTTGAGCTGGATGGCAAGATAATAAGCAAGCATTAATTTAGCTTAAATAAATTTCAATTATCAGATGAAAAGCATTCTATGGGATGGAAGGAAGGATCTTGCTAATAGTGTGGTCAAACCTATGTTCATTTATCAATGAGAAATCCTGGAAAAATGGATGAAAGGCCAGACTACTGAAGAGATTAAAATTTATCTCTTTGAAAAGAGGGAAGGGAGATCCACAAGCCAGGTAGCCTGATAATATCTGGGAAGAGTTTAGTTACATTAGTTGCTCGATTCTTGGTGACTGCATGTATAAATGCTGACCAATCAATCAGAATAGAGCTGGAAGGGACTTTGGAGGTCTTCTAGTCCAGCCCCCTGCTCAAGCAGGAGTTCCTATATCATTTCAGACAAATGGTTGTCCAGTCTCTTCTTAAAAACTTCCAGTGATGGAGGAAGCTGTTCCACTGGTTAATTGTCCTCACTTTTAGGAAGTTTCTTCTTAATTCCAGGTTGCTTCTCTCCTTGATTAGTTCCTACACATTGTTTTATTTATTTATTTATTATTTATTAATTGAATTTTTACCCCGCCCTTCTCCTTGCGGACTCAGGGCGGCTGACAGCCTGATAAAAACAACTACAGAAATACCCCAAAAACTATCATTAAAAACAAAGTTAAAATAAAATATTAAATTTGGCCTTATTAATTATTAAAATTGCTTTTAAAACCCCTCTAAAAATTTCCCCTTAGGCCAGTCCTGCTTGTTGGAAGAGCCATGTCTTAAGGGCGCGGCGGAAGGAGGGGAGATCCGGGATCACCCGGATCTCTGGGGGTAGTTCGTTCCAGAGGGTGGGAGGTCCCACCGAGAAGGCCCTCCCCCTGGGAGTCGCCAGCCGGCACTGTCTGGCTGACGGCACCCTGAGGAGACCCACTCTGTGGGAGCGTACCGGCCAATGGGAGGTAATCTGCGGCAGAAGGCGGTCTCGGAGATATCCAGGTCCGATGCCATGGAGCGCTTTGAAGGTGATAACCAACACCTTGAAGCGCACCCGGAAGGCCACCGGCAACCAGTGCAGCTCGCGCAACAACGGTGTTACATGGGAGCGACGAGTCCCTCCCAACACCGCCCGCGTGGCCGCATTCTGGACCAGTTGGAGCCTCCGGGTGCTCCTCAAGGGAAGCCCCATGTAGAGAGCGTTACAGTAGTCCAGGCGGGAGGTGACGAGGGCATGGGTGACTGTGCGCAAGGCATCTCGGTCCAGAAAAGGCCGCAACTGGTAAATCAGGCGTACCTGATAGAACGCCCCCCTGGTCACGGCCGACAGCTGGTCTTCCAGTGTCAGCCGTGAATCCAGGAGGACCCCCAGATTGCGTACCCTCTCCGAGGGAGCCAGAATTTTGCCCCCTATCGTCAGCGATGGAGTCAGCTGACTATGCCGAGGCGCCGGCA